GAGAAACCAACCAAGCTTCTATTTACCTGGGCCCAAAATGTTACTGCATCTTCTACGTGACTTCCAACAACATCGTCAACTAAAATAAAATCACAATGCAAAAAAAAAAAATTAGAACTTGGTATCATTTAATTCTTATACCCCCAAATAATATTTAACGACAGTACCTTTATTGTAATGTGTATCTTCATCCATTTGGACAAGTCCTGAAAAACTAACAATTCGATACCTTGAATTAGGTTTTAATATCTATTAACAATGGAAAAAATCTAAATCACATATGGTTTTTTGTTTTTTGTTTGGTTGGTTTTTTTGGTTTTTCAGAGACAGGGTTTCTCTGTATTGTTTTGGAGCCTGTCCTGGAACTCATTCTGTAGATCAGACTGGCCTCGAACTCACAGATCCGCCTGCTTCTGCCTCCCTAGTGCTGGGACTAAAGGCGTGCATTACCAATGCCCAGCCTTCAGTCTAGTCTTGAACTCTAGATCTTCCTGCCTTTATCTAAAGTGCTGGTATTATAGACATGCTCCATCGTACCTTGCTCTTACAAATCTTAATATAACAGTTGGTGTGAGGAAAAGGAACCGGTCCAGAAGTTTTAATTGAAAACTCCAATGTAGTTTTCTAGTATTTAGTTTACAGACTATCACTTTAGGACACTGTGCATGGAACATCATAGTATAATTAAAGAGCCAACAACAGTGAACATCTTGTTTTTCAGTCTGTAAAAATAGCCTTTGGTTACAACCATTCTAGCTAAAAGTTATGTGACATTAAATGAAACTTGCATTTAATCCCCTACCCTATTAAGAAGTGAGTAGTGTGTAGATACTGACTGTTGGAAAAAGTTCTCCTGGAACTGTAAGGACTCTTGACACTGTCTAGAATAAGGAATAGCCATTTTACAAACTTTCATAGGAGAGAAGAAAAGTTTTGTTTGAAAGTGCATAGCTAACATGAATGACCTAAAGATGGCGGAGGATTAAGCACTTGAGCATGAGCTAGGAGTGAGCTGGTTGTAACTCCATGGCCCTTGGATAAGTGGGTATGCAAACAGACTGCAAATCTGAAGACAGTGGATGCCTATTGTTTTGCTTCCCAAATCGTTGGTGATCAGAAAGCCCTACTTGGTTAAGTACATCAAGTGGGTATCTGCAAACAGGATGAGACAGAAACTCTGGTGTTGGGAATGAAAAGGAGACCAGTGCTTGTCCTCGGTTTTGTATTTGCATATGTTTGAGTGCTCTAGGTTGTTGGAACTTGAAGCATTGGAGGTCATGCTGTGCTAGGGCCCAAAGATGGAGGAGGGTCCATGGTGGAGGAGGAGGAGTGGGGGAGGGCATATGGGCCGGTGCCTGTATTTGCACTTGATAGCTTTTGGTTTAGCTGTTAGTCTGTTTATTCCTCCATTGCTGGCTGAATCCACTTATTCAAGTAAATCTGCTTCACAGACAGCTGAATCCCCAGGGCAGATGGCACTTGGAGAGGGTTTGAATTTGTTGTGTGGTGGTAGTATTATTCAGCAGTGACTTGCTAAATGAAAAAGCTCCCTTTGCCACCTTGAAAAGGAAAGTCTCTCTTTAGTGCTTGGTCTTAGAAAATCTGAAAGCTTGGGAGGGCATGTTCAGTTTCTGTTCAAGGCCATCCTCAGAAGCTGGCTACTATATGCAGAGTCCTTGAATAGGAGGTGCCTGTGTCCTATAAATTTCTTTTCCCCCACTCATTTTCTTCTGTGTCCTTCAACTTGGTTTGAGCCAATATAGTGAAGGATTATTCTCTGTGGTGTTTTACAAAAGTTGTAGGGCTTCTTCTGGAGCTGAGTACAAACAGTAATATTAAGTAGCTTTACTTGTGGAAGTTAAGGGCAGATTTCAATAGCAGTGTGTAATCAATCTGGCCATATACCAGAGTCCTCAGTCTGTGCTTACCGCTGAAGTGTGCAGTACTTCAAGGTACTCAGCTTTGAGGTGCAATGGGATGAGCCTCTTGGCAACAAATTCTAGGTTTATTCATCATGTGTGTGTTCTCTTGACTGATATTATCTCTTCCAGAATCCTTTTTTTGGGGGGGGAGAGGGTCTTGTTACGGGAGTTCTCCTGACCCCACCCCCCCAAATTTTGGGATGATCTACAGGCATGCACTATCAGCCTCTCCTTTCTTTTTTGTTTGTTGTTTTTGTTGTTGTTGTTGTTTTTGAGACAGGGTCTCAAAATTGCCAGGTCTACATAGACAGTACAGCCTACATAGTTTGGAACTCAGAAATGTACCTGGCCAACTCTTGAGTGCTGGGATTAAAGTGTGCACCCTCACTCCCAGCCCTTTAGAGGGGTCAAGATGGTTTCTTGGTGTATCCTTGGCTATCCTGAAACTGGCTTTGTAGACCAGACTGGCCTCAAAACAAATAGAGATCCTCTTGCCTCTGCCTCCCAAATGCTGGGATGAAAGGCAGGTACCACCACCACCTGGCTCCCAGTTATTTTTTTTAAGTGTGTTGTGGATAGAACCCAGAGATTTGTGCATGGTGTGTCTAAGCTGTATTCCCCAGTCCTCTTCCAGAATATTTTCTTGGATTCTTCTGTTCGTAGTTTGGTTTGTCTGTCTTGTTGGGAACTGGGAAGACAAGGTCTCAATATTGCTTAGACTGGACTTGACATTCATTGTGTAGCCCCCTGCAACTTCCCAGGTGCTACAAAGAGCAGTCAGTGCGCTTAACCACTGAGCCATCTCTCTAGTCCCTAGGGGCAGATTTTTAGCTGCTGATCCATTTCTCCAGCTTCAAAATATGTATTAACTAAAGAATTTAATAGTGGCATCTGGTTTATGTCTAGTACCTTTTTGAGCCCTGTTTGTTTCCTTCACTGAGCATGTGGCAGAGGGCAGTGGAGCCTGGCTTGGCTGCCTGGGTACAGGAGGCTACCTTGCATGTGTTCCCCATAAAGCCTGGCTCTGGTCCTAGAGATTGCTCCAGAAGGCAGGCATTCAGGAGTGGCCACAGCTGTGGGGTGTGGGTAGTTGCTAAGCAGCACTGTCTCGTGGGTAAGGACAACATTTGGCCTCAGTCAAGGGGAACAGTTGTTTTTAAGATGCCCATTAAGTCCCAGCCCTGTCTGCCTGAGGACTGACTTGGTTATGACCACCCTTACGCAGGGTTTTTGAGTGGTCATGGGAGGGCCCTGGGTGACACAGTCATAGTGGAGTCCCATCCTACTGTTCCTCAGGTGAACATAGAGCCAGGTTTGGTTTCTGTTCGGATGTCTGTTAAATTGGGGCAGCATGTGAATTCATCTCCTTTGAGGACTGCTGTTCAAACACCATTGCTTTCAGGATGTGGTTTTTATACCTTCAGACCTGGTGTCTCTCCCCCAAGGGCCAAGAAGTCTCAGCTTGCAGTGTTGTTTAATTTAGGGAATGACTGATCAGAAGTCTAACACGTGCAAGGTGTGTGGGCAGATGCAGACTCCTTCTCCTGGGACCAGCCTGGCTACCCCAGCGGACAGGAGACTGAATCCTAGCCGTGTCAGTGGGAAGAGGCTTGCTGACTCCACACCACAGTGGATGGGTGTAGTACTAACTTCTGGGACTTCCCAAGGGTTCTGTGGCCTGTAAAGTTCTGTGGACACTCACCGTCTTAGTACCTGTCTCCCCGCTTCAGAGCTGGTATATTGGCCCCAAGGCAGTTCTGATTGGCCTGGATGAAGAGTTTAGCCTGCAGCAGATGCTTGGATGGAGAAGCAGATGGCAGGCAGGCATAGTGTGGGTGATATGGTGGGAGGCTGGGAGTCCTAAAGGAGGCTGGGGACCAGGAAGACGGCTTCCCAAAGGGACATAAAGGTGAGTGGGGCTCTGCCAGGGGAGGGGCTCACAAGCCTGTGTGTGGATCCAGTGGCTCTCAGGCAGTGGATGGCTCTAGAGATGGCTGAGCGCTGGGCTCCCCGCCTGAGATACTATAGGGATAGCCTACTCCATGCTCTAGACCGGGTAGGTGCTCTTGGCTCCCCACCCAAGACTGAATGGGCACGCCACAACTCCTTTCCATCGGTATTGCATTCAAGCCCTTACCTCTCGGAGTCTTGCTGTACATGGGTGTCCTTTATATAGTCCACACAGTAGACAATGCACGAACTTCCCTGATGTTCAGTTAGGTGCTGCCAGGGCAGAGGCTGGTATTCTCCTCAGCTGTACCTGACTCCTTGGATTGGCCTCAGCTTGCTTGGTTCTGAGGGCGCGTGGGTGGAGGCTGAGGGCAGCTCTCAGGAAAATAAGCACTGAGTGACAGGGGCAGTCCCTTCCGATTCCTCCTCACCTGCCACCCTTCGATCCACTCTGTTACACCCTGAGCTGCTGGGGGAGACGCGGACCAAAGCCGGCTGTGCAATTTGTCCTTTAACCAAAACATCACGATTTGTGGTCCTGAGTCCTGGTTACCAGTCCTTGATTCCACCAAGCCTTGTCCTTGTTTCAGGATTTAAATCTTTCTACTCTTTCTGATTCTAGGTTATAGAGTTAGAAACATCCTTGTTCATTTGGAGCTGATTCTGTTCCAGGGATACGGGTTGTATCTGGGGACATTTTTTTCCTGGGATGGGGATGCAAAATTCCACTTTTCAGAGGCTTGAAACCCCTCTGGTTGGCCTCCCGGGCTTTTGGAGCTCAGTCCCAGGGGAGGGTGTAAGATGCAGGGCCTTTCTGCGTGACTTCTCTTTGAACTTTACCCCCTGCAAAGCTAAGAGTCAAAGGTAATTTATTCAGCTTCCCAGGCTGGAGAGAACTAAAGGCTGCCTTCCCACTAGGTGTGCCCCTGAAAGCTCTCTGGGAAGGTCAGCGACCATACACTGTGCCTTGAGCTGGCTGGGTGAGTCTCTAGTCTCACAGTGTCTGCCTGTCTTTCAGGGGAGACTGACAGGTCACCTGTCCAGAGATGAGGGACTTGTTCCATTCAGTGTCAGCTTTGAACTGGGAAGACAAGAAGAGAGAAAAGAGAAGAAAGGATAAAGAATTACTTTTGGCCAGGCAGTGGTGGTGCACGGCTTTAATCCCAGCACTCTGGAGGCAGAGGCAGGCAGATCTCTGTGAGTTCGAGGCGGCCTGGTCTACATAGTGAGTTCCAGTACAGCCTCCAAAGCCACAGAGAAACCCTGTCTCAAAACACCACACTGGGAGAAGGAGAGGGAGAAGGAGAGGCGGGGGAGGAAGAGGGGGAGAGGGAGAGAGAATTGCTTAGGTCTCTTCTTGTGCCTTTGACAGGAGGATTTCACATCACTCCTTTAGCTTCATATCCTTTTGGAAAGAGACAGCCCTGGTCTTGCTGCCAGGCCCTGCTTAGGGACACCAAGTCAAGTCCCTCGTGTCCTGCTTTCTTGAGTCCCCTCTTTGGATGAGGCCCCTCCCCCATCTTCTTCAATGTTGATGACATGAAACAGGCATCCTCAGGAAGTGAGAACTAAAACCCCCTGTGCCAGGCTTCTGAAAACCTGGTCTCTGCCAACAGTGACACTTTCCAGAACTTTCTAGCGGAGGCAGGTTTCTTGAATTATAGCGCCTCACTGAAGAGCTGGAAAATATAGGAAGACTAAAATGTCTGATGGCCCCCAATAACCGCTCACCCAAGACATCACTGTGGTCCCCTGGAGTCCCCTCTGCTGTTCTCATACCCACACATAGACAGCTGGATCATGTATGTGTATGTTTTTGAATCCTGCCTTTATGTATAAGTGTGGGAACACTATTCAGGTTGTGAGTCTCTCTAAGGATTTTGTTTAGAACTGGGGGGTTTACTTTAGTTGTAACGCCTGGCTTAGCCTGGGGTTCTTTGAAGGGGCTGAATGAACTCTGCAGAATATGGGCTGAAAGTGGCTTTTCCACTCGACCTTAGGGAAACCATCATTTCAGAGGAAAGTACCAGCCGCTGTTCAGAAGAGATGGTTTTGAGGATGTGGAGGGGAGGGGAGTTTCCCCTACACTGGACTGAGTCTGACCGCGAGCATTGTGCTGTCCTGAGTGCCTGTTGGCTTTGGGGTACAGGGTGAGGAAGGCTTGCAGGGCTGCACAGTTTTGTCCTAGGTGCTTTCCAAGGTCCTGATAACCTTCCAGTCAGCAGTTCAGCATATGCGATGAGCTCCAGAGTAGCATCTTTGCTTGGCTGTGGAGGCAGTATGAAGGCTGGGTGGTGTCCACTCAGCATCCGGGCAGACACGGGGCAGACCAAAGAGCTCTTTGTCAGTCGGTGCCACTTTCCCAGGAGCCAGCCTGCATTCACTCAGGAGGGCGTGGCCGAGCCATCCTGTGAAGTCTGAGAATATAAGGCACAGTAGCTAGCAAGGTGGCGTTCTCTTCATCCGGCACACACAGTTTCACTGCTTTGCCTGGAGTCCGCAAGAGTTACCTGAACCACCTCAGGCTAACGGTGACAGGGATCCCGGTGCTGCATGAAGACTCTGAGCTGGTGTCAGCTGCCTTGTGTCGAGGGTGATTATGCTTCCTAGAGAACTGGGTGGGCAGCTTGCTGAACATCTATCCCCGGCTCCATCAAGACGAAGTTGGGGACCATGTGGTGACTACTGTGATGGGGGCCATTTCTAAGGGGGAAAAAATGAAGCCTTCGGTAGCAGTGCCTGTGAGCCCAAGAAATGGTTAGCAGTTAGAAGCAAAGGCTGTTCCTCCAAGGACCTGAGTTTGAGTCAAAGCATCCACATGGCAAGGATCGCAGTCTCTACTGACCAAAACCGACAGCTTTGAGGGTTTCTGTGACTCTGGAGGTGACCTCCACATAGCTTTTCAGGTTTCAGTGTCTCTGATAGTCACCTACACACAGCTCGTAGGTTTCAGTGATGCCAATGGTGTCTTCCATACAGAACTTCAATGCTGTTTCCCACATTGCAAGTTTCCAGTGGTTCCACCAGTGACCTCAAGAAGTGCCAAGAGTAGAAGAAACAAACTCTTCATTGAGCCGCAGCCCCCAAGCAAGTAGTCAAAGTCAGGTGATCTACATTTGGTAGTGAGGGGCGGAATACCAGTGTGGTGGTTTGAAAGGAAATGGCCCCCAAAGGGAGGGAGTGGCACTATTAGGAGGTGTGGCCTTGTTGGAGTGGGTGTGCTGCTGTGGGGGGGCAGGCTTTGGCGTCTCTCTTTCCTCAAGCTTCTCTCAGCTGACTGCCTGCTGCCTTCTGTGTCTGCCTGCACACTGCCACCCTCCCCGCCATGATGATAATGGACTGAATCTGTGAAATGTAAGCCATCACCCCATTAAATGTTTTCTTTGTAAGAGTTGCCATGGCCATGGTGTTTCTTCACAGCAACAGAAACCCCAACTAACACAACCTGACACGTCTAGAGCACCCCTCAACATCTCATACCTGATGGTTTCCACGGTGATTCCTCCAGGGTCCGTGGACTTCCCTCACAGTAGTGGTCAGGCACTCTTCAGAGGTCATGTGATTCTAGCGCTTAACAATGAGCTGGCACTATGGTGATCCCATCTGTGTTGATGAGCACCGGGCAGCGTGGCAGCTGGCAAGGCTCTGTAGAAACGCTACTGGCCTCCTGCCTTAGCTCGAGTTCATGCGGCTTGAATTCATCTTCCTTTCATCCCCAAACACCCCTTCCCCATTCCCCCTCCTTCTACACCATCACCCCAGTTTCCTCATCCCCGCTTTGCCAGCCCCTGTCAGAAGCAAGAAGCCACACAGCTTACCCATCCCTGTCCTCTCCCTGTGGGCGGAGCAGCTCTGCTTCAGCTCCCGTTGCTATGACTCCGTTGCTAGGATCAGGTTGTCTCCATCCCAGGCAGGAAACATGTAGTGAATTATGGATGGCTGGTTCTCTCAGAGGCCTGGTCTGTAAT